CAGCAGCCTTTCTTTCTCCTCTTTCCTCTTTCCCTCCCAGCTGCTGGCCTGCCCAGGCTGGAGAGCAAAGCCCTGCTCCCAGCCCAGAACAGGCACCTTCTAGACCCAGAAAAGCCACAAAACTTTGGAGCATCCTTCAACTTTGGACGAGTCTCAGGCCAGCCATCCCCAAAGTGGGGCAAGATGCCCCCAAAACCACGACTGGAACAGGTGCAGCCCCTACAGGCAAGGTCTGGCTCACACATGGGCTCTGCACATGGATGCTGCATCCTGGGGACCTCAGCCTTGCTCCGTGGATGTTGCCAGCCCAATGTGGCCCTTCTGCCTCACCCCAAACCTCTGCTCTGGTGCGCTGAGGTTGGAAAACCAGAGACAACTCTTCAGCTGGGCTCTGTGGGGCTGGAGCTGGGTGAGTGTGGAGGAGTTATGCCCATGGAAAGGGAGGGCCGGGCAGTCCTGCTCCACTGGATGCAGTGTGCAGAAGCCTTTTCTGAGGTTTCTGGCTCTTTTTCAGAGCCAAAGAGCTGGAGGCTGGTGGGGCCCCACTGAACACAGCCCTCAGGCAGGGGTGTCCAACCCCCTGTGCTCAGAGCTGGTGCATTTCTCACATCCACATCCCTTACTCTGCTCTCCATCGTGACCAAACCCAGTGGCCTGGATCTTTCCCAGGCATGACCACATGTGGGTTACTCCCTGTCCTTCAGCATCTGCTCAGACACTGCCAGCAACCTCTGCTGTGCCATGGGGATGCTGAGCACTGCAGGCTGTGGCACAGGCAGGCAGGAGAGCTCTGTGGGCAAGCAAAGGGGTGCAGGCAGGCAGCAGGAGGGCTGGGGATGGAGGGAGGGTTTTTCAGCTGGGCTGGCCTCGTCCCTGCTGCCTGCAGCTCGGGATGGATCTCCCTGGCAGGGGAGTTCAAGCTGGGTTAAAGCCACTGCCACAGCCTGAACATCACATTCATATTCTAGTCACAGTTTTTGGGCATCTTTGCTTTTCTTGGCAGTGTCAGAGCTCCAGGACAGCAGGGAAAAGAGGGAAATGGACCTCACTTGCCATGTCTCTGCTACTTCAGCTGTCTCAGAGGAGTTTGCTGGTTGTCCTGAGCCACGTCTGCGTCAGGCAGAGCTGAGCTGACACCCAGGACAACCTGGGCTGGTGCATTTGCTGCCTGGGAGCCTTTTTGTTCCTCCCACAATCAGGTCACAGCCTGTCCCATCAGGGTGAGGCAAGTGAGGCACAGGCAGGGCTGGACGTGCCTGTGCTGCCCAGCACAGACGCTTGTCAGCCCAGCAGCAGCTGCAGGAAGCTGGGGACCTGCTCTGGGGCTTTCCCTCTGCAGCCCTTTTGAAGGGCAGGCACAGGGCTGGCACCTTGCCCTGGGTGCTCCTGGGCAGGTGCCACCCCAGGCATGTGGGACAGTTTGGGAATATGGCTCAGGAAACACCTGATGAGCAAACCTGAGGTTGTCAGCCTTGTCCTGCTCCTTCCTCAGGCTCCTGTGGATTTCTCTGGTCCCAGTGATATTGTTTACTTTCACTGCCTCCTTCTCCAGCTGCTTCTGCAGCTCTGCTGGGAAGTGAAACCCTTCTGATGGTGTGAGGTCCTGGAGGAAGCTGTTCTGTCTGCAGCATCCGTGGCATCATCACCTCTCTCTGCCCCCAGGTGGGATCCAGGACGCTGTACCCGCACGGCCGAGGTGTGAGGCAGGTGAGTTCACACTAGAGTTTGAACTGTGCTGCAGGTGCAGCTTTCAAACCCGGCAGAGAGAGAGATTAGGGGGGAAAAAAATAAATAAAAATGAAAAAGAAAACACAAACACGCCACCTCCATCTTGCAAAGTCCTCGAGTCACATCACAGGGCTGGCAGCATCTCATCCCTACAGACCCTGGCTGTGTCCATCCCCCAGGCATCAGCTGCTGGGCACAGCGATGCTCCACCATGCCCACCCTCATGGCTGCCCTCTGCTCCCTGGAATATCCCAGTTTTCCAGAGGCTGAGCAAATTCTGTGGCATTTCCAGGCTGCAAGCTACTCTGCAAATAACCATTCCCAGAGGTTGGTAATTCCCCCGAATGCATGTGCAGCTCCTTGGGAAATGGAGCAAGACCCAGCACAGCCATCTCATTCCTGATTCCAGGCAAGACAGTGGGAAAGCTTCATGGTCCTGCTTGGTGGGCAAAGCTCTCTTCTCAGAAATGAGTTTTTGCTTAAATTTTGGAGAGAAAAATGTAGTCTGACTCAGCCACAAAGCATGGAAAATTTCAAGCAGGCACTTGATGTGTGGCAAAAAGTATCCTTGGGCTGGGAGAATGAGTGGGGTTGTATTGTTTGGGCTGTTAAATCAAAAACCCAGGGGAAAGAAATAACTTTGGGTCAACCCAAAATGAACTGTTCTAGATATTCTTTCTGAAACAAAAAAGTGTTGCTTTGAACAGCAGGAGGCCCTTGGTTTTATCCACTACTGATATAAATGACTTCTCTAGATGGCAAGTGAAAAGTTGAAAAGTTCCTCTAATACCAGAGAAATCAAAAATAAACCCTGCTCTTCCCAAGGTAACAGATGCTCCTTGTCCTTTCAGATGGAGCCCAAATTCCCAAATGAGAGAATGACAGAATATCCTGACCTGGAAGGAATCCACAAGAGTCATTGTGTCCAACTCCTGGCCCTGCAGAGGATAACCCAACAATCCCATCTTTTGTCTGAGGGCACTGACCAAGCACATCTTGAGCTCTGTCATCCTTGTGGCCGTGACCACTTCCTTGGGAAACCTGTTCAGTGCCTGGCCACCCTTGGGGACAAGAACCTTTTCCAAATATTCAGCCTAACTCTCCCCTGACACAGCTCCAGCCATTCCCTCAGGTCCCACTGCTGCTCACCAATAATTAGACAATAATTACAAATTATTAGAGACAAATAATTAGAGCCCCTCTGAATCAGAGATTTTGCTGATGAACTATCAGTGTTAACAATTCCAGCCCGCCTGGGAAGTTGTGGATGGATCCGTGTTGGGATCTGCCCTTCCTACGTCAACACCCAGAGGATGCAGAGCGCTGAGCAGCCTTTCCTGCGTGTGCTGCTGCCGTCCTGCTGGGCTGTGCAGGGTGTGATGGCTGTGCAGGATGTGATGGCTGTGCAGGGGTGATGGCTGTGCAGGATGTGATGGCTGTGCAGGGGTGATGGCTGTGCAGGATGTGATGGCTGTGCAGGGGTGATGGCTGTGCAGGATGTGATGGCTGTGCAGGGGTGATGGCTGTGCAGGATGTGATGGCTGTGCAGGGGTGATGGCTGTGCAGGATGTGATGGCTGTGCAGGGGTGATGGCTGTGCAGGATGTGATGGCTGTGCAGGGGTGATGGCTGTGCAGGATGTGATGGCTGTGCAGGGGTGATGGCTGTGCAGGATGTGATGGCTGTGCAGGGGTGATGGCTGTGCAGGATGTGATGGCTGTGCAGGGGTGATGGCTGTGCAGGATGTGATGGCTGTGCAGGGGTGATGGCTGTGCAGGATGTGATGGCTGTGCAGGGGTGATGGCTGTGCAGGATGTGATGGCTGTGCAGGGGTGATGGCTGTGCAGGATGTGATGGCTGTGCAGGGGTGATGGCTGTGCAGGATGTGATGGCTGTGCAGGGGTGATGGCTGTGCAGGATGTGATGGCTGTGCAGGGGTGATGGCTGTGCAGGATGTGATGGCTGTGCAGGGGTGATGGCTGTGCAGGATGTGATGGCTGTGCAGGGGTGATGGCTGTGCAGGATGTGATGGCTGTGCAGGGGTGATGGCTGTGCAGGATGTGATGGCTGTGCAGGGGTGATGGCTGTGCAGGATGTGATGGCTGTGCAGGGGTGATGGCTGTGCAGGATGTGATGGCTGTGCAGGGGTGATGGCTGTGCAGGATGTGATGGCTGTGCAGGGGTGATGGCTGTGCAGGATGTGATGGCTGTGCAGGGGTGATGGCTGTGCAGGATGTGATGGCTGTGCAGGGGTGATGGCTGTGCAGGATGTGATGGCTGTGCAGGGGTGATGGCTGTGCAGGATGTGATGGCTGTGCAGGGGTGATGGCTGTGCAGGATGTGATGGCTGTGCAGGGGTGATGGCTGTGCAGGATGTGATGGCTGTGCAGGGGTGATGGCTGTGCAGGATGTGATGGCTGTGCAGGGGTGATGGCTGTGCAGGATGTGATGGCTGTGCAGGGGTGATGGCTGTGCAGGATGTGATGGCTGTGCAGGGGTGATGGCTGTGCAGGATGTGATGGCTGTGCAGGGGTGATGGCTGTGCAGGATGTGATGGCTGTGCAGGGGTGATGGCTGTGCAGGATGTGATGGCTGTGCAGGGGTGATGGCTGTGCAGGATGTGATGGCTGGCTGGTGCTCTGACCAGGCTGGGGGCTGGTGGTTCTCTCTCCTGGCTCTGCCCACAGATCCAGCTCTGGAGCTGGGAAGCAGAGTGGATGGGATGTGCAGCTCTGGCTGTGGCTCTGGCTGAGGCTGGGAGGGACGGGAGACCCTCACTGGGAAAACGTCAGGGTATTTGGTTCACGATTTCCTCTCCTCGCCGAGGCAGCCTGCGAGAAGGCAAGGAACTGGGGCAAGTCATCCCTTCAGGAGGTCACAAACAGCCCTCTCCTCCTGGAGAAGGCTTTCCAGCCCAAATTTTGGGCCTCTTTCGAGAGGGTGTGGTTCTGGGCTCCCGTGGAGCTCTCATCCAGGCAGGATCTGGCTCACTGGGGAGAAAATTCTGCCCTCCACCTCCCTGTCCTCCTGGCTCAGCTTCACAGCTTGCCAGTGAGGTTTGGCCAGGGGGACACATTCGTCCTTTTAGATGCCTCCTCTCACCTTTCCTTAGCGCCAGAGCCTCTCGGGGGTGTCCCCCAGGTTGGGACAGCCTCTCACCCCATTCCCTGCCCGGGGGAGCTCCCGCAGCTGCCCTGCTTTGTGCTCTGCTTCCTCGGCACCGCTTATGCAAGAGCCTTTGGAAGCGAGACAAAATTACAGCGGGAAGAAATCATCGCACGGCTCTGGTGGGAAAAGATATTATCCTGCGTTGCCAGCGAGACCGGCCGTCGGCAGGTAGGGCCCGGAGGAGCGCTGCGTGGCAGGATGATCGCTGATAAGATGCCGGGTCCTGCTCCGATGGCCTCGGGAGAGGGAAGCGCTGTGCCGTGAAGCTATGGAAACAGCCAGGCCGGGTGCGGAGCGGTAATTGGGCCACTCGCATCACCGCAGGTACCCCGGCTCTTTGTGTGCCGGGGAGAGCGCGGCTGCGGGAACGGCCCTGGAAAAAGTTGTTCCATTGGAAGCGCTGCTCTGGCGGCAGCTGCCCCCCGGCCGTGCCCCCTCCCCGGGCCCCCGCTCTGCCTTTGAGTCACCTCGGGGCCGTGACGGCCGCATCCGCCCCGCGCCAAGGTCACGCTTAAAAGCATTGGACATGGCTGGGCGCGGAGGTGGGAGAGGCAATGCACAAGTCGCATCGCGTTTGAAGGAGTTGCGGCCAGGGCAAACCTCCCCAACGTGCCCTTCGAGGAAGGGGGCTCCCACCGCCTTTCATTATTTGCCAAGAAACGTAAGCCCAGAGGTCCGTGAAATTGTCAGGATGTGTGAAATCAGGCACCGCCGGGCAGCTCTCCTGCGCGACCATTTTAAATATTTAACGCGTTGATTATACAACATTTGTATTGAAACGCCGGTGTGGGCCCAGAGCCGGGCTTTGGGGAGGGGAGTGGAGGGGGGGATTTGGGATTTGGCCACCCTGCCCTGGGCTCCTGGCAGCCGCCGCAGCGCCGGCGGGGGGGCAGCGGGGAGCCTGTGCGGGAGGCACTCAGGCGGCGAGGCGCTCCTGCTCGGGAGCCTCCGAGTGACAAACGCGCTCAGGAGCAGGAATTCATTCCTGTAAATATGTTTGCATTATTTATTTTAAGCATTTTTATAAATCATAATAGGAGAGACATCTGCTGTTAAAACTGCAAACTGCATTCATGCCTAGGGCAAGGCGGGAAGAGGTTGTTTTTTTTTTTTCCTCCCCGGGAAAGCTTGGGAAAGTTTGGGGAGCACGGCAGGTTTGGGGGCGTGGGGACAGGGGGAAAATGTGCGGAGGCATTTTCTCGGTGGGAATTAAATATACCCGTTCCCTCCCGGGGGCTTTATTTACGTCCTTCTCGCCTCCTCCACCCCTCTGGCTTTTGACACCTTTTTTTATACGGGCTTTATCATGAGGATGGCATCTCCCTCTCGCCTTCCTGATGGCCAGAGAAGCTGGGACTAAAGCACCCCACTCCTCTGCAGAGAGAGGCGGGCACATGTGTGTGTGGATGGGTCTCGTTTCCCTCGGGCGCAGTGGGGAGGTCCAGAGGGGGATCCAGCACCTCTCAGTGACGGCACAGCACCAAAAATAAAAATAAAAATCCAAATCCCTCTCCCCAACCAGGTGGCATCTGCAGGTCCCTGGAGCCGAGAGCTTCTGGAGACGGCGGTGGCTGGTTCTGGGTGAGGGGAGGAAGCTCCGGGTGACTCTGACTCACCGCTCCGCAAGATTAATTGCCGGGCGTCGCAGGAGGTTTATCACTGCCACCCGCGCTCGGCGCGGCTGCGGCTCCTTCTGCCCGGGGAACCGGGGCGAGGAGGGGGCTGTGGCACCCAAACTGGGCCGGTGGAGCCGGTGTGGCCCTGCGAGGGGGAGGCCATGTGGGTATCTGCCCTTCGCACACCCCAAGCGCCAGCTCAGGTGCCCCAGGGTGCAGGGGGGTCCCGTGTCTGATTCCTGCCCGGGTCTCGCTGTCCCCTGCCTCAGTTCCCTGCCCCTCAGGGCAGCTGTGTTTGAGTTGGGCTCTCCCTGTTGCACTTGGCTCCTGTTTCAGAGCCCTTCTACCTTGTGGAGAGGCCCCACCATGGGAAACTGGTGGCAAATCCACTCTCTCTCCAGCGCCCATCCAGACTTCCCCTGCGTCCTGATGTCCTCAGCCATGCTGTCCTGCAGCACTGACAAGCTCAGCAACTGTGATGAACAAAATCTTTTACATAATCAATAATTAATGTCTGGGGTTTCCAAGCAGCTAATTAATCTCCTGGTGAATCGTGAAAAAAAAATGTTTAGGCTAAATGTGGGTGTTTTCAAGCCAGGTGAGCAGAGGTTCACGCTCAGCCCAGGCTCTTGTGTTAACCCACATCCATCCCTGGAGAGCTTCTTGCTCCAAGTGATGCTGTTCATTGCCAGAGTGTGGACAATATTGATCATAAATATTTGCCTAATGAGATCATATCTGCTTTCCAGCATATGCAGGGGGTGACCTCAAAAGGCCGGGTGTCCTTTGGGTGAGCTCCCAACGAGCTTAATTGTCTCTGTGAGTGTTGCAGCTCTGGAGGTGACCTGCACTGGGCTGTGTGAGGGGTCAGGTCAGTCTCAGCAACACTGGGATTACTGGAGGCAGGGAACAGACCTTTGCTGGGCCTCATCAGAACCTCCCAGCCCAGTGCTCCCACCCAAAAGCTGGGAAACACAAAATACAGCACATAAACAATTCAGGTTCCAGCCTTAGGCAAAGATTTGATAGGATTTTTCTGGTCACTGGTTGCAGATTCAGGGGAATATCACAAGCTTCATCCACCCCATTCCCCAATAGATTCTGACTTGGGAAACCTCTGCTAGGTTCTCTAGAAGCTTCAGCAGCAGTTGTACTCAGGCATGGCAGCCCTGCAATAGCTTTGACCCAATTTCAGGCAACCTGAAGGGTTGAAAAGTCCTCAAAGCAGCGAATTCTCTCTGCAAATTTTGGGAAGCCTGTGTGGTTCTCCCCTGCTGGAGCCCTGTGAGCTCTGGTAGATCAATCCCAAGGCAGATCTGCAGCCATGGCTCCTCAGTGGTGACCAGGGACAGAGATTTGCATCTCCCATCAGGTTCCTGACAAACGTGCCTGGGCACTGGTCAGGTCCAGGCTTGCTGCAGTCCATTTCTGTGTGAGCAGGCTATGAATTTGTTCTCCCCAGCTCTCTGGCTCTTCAGCTCGTCCCAGAATAGCCAAGTCAGTGACTCGTGGCTCATTTTGAACGATTGCCAAGCAGCTGCAGCTGTCCTTGACTTTATCTCTGCTCCAGTGTGGCTTTGCCCAGCTCCACAAGTTCACACTAGGAGACTCCACTCCCCCTTCCCAGAATAGAAGACATCCAGGGCCCAGTGTCAGCAAGTTTAGCAGCTGTGGGAAGTGTTATCCTTTGAGCAATCAGTAATTAGCCTGGTTGAAAGGCCAGAGTCCTTGTGGCTAATGAGTAGCTCGAGATGAGCCCTACAATCTCCTGACCCTCTTTAAGTTTTGCTGGTGGCTTCCAAAAGCTTCCTGGATTGCTCTCACCTTTATGCCAGCTCCCAATGGCCTTTTGTCATGGGAGTTGGTCCTTTCCAGCAAACCCAAAGCTCACGGTCACTCTTGCCTGGTCACCTCTGGTTATGTCCTGTTCCTCCTCACAGCGCCTGTGTTTCCATCACACCTTCCACAGCCCTGCTCACTTCCAGTCTGCAGCCTCCCCATCCACAGCTGCACATCTGGAACTGCTGTCTCTGTCACCAGGGCTGGCCTTGGTCAGTGCTGGCTGAAGGTCACTGCTGGAGCTGGAGGGAAATGGTTGACCATGGCTGATGATGGTGATCCCCAGATCTGCTCCTGATGGATGGAGCTCACTCCTGTGCCTCCAGCCCCTCTTAGTCTTGCTGTCAGCCTGGATAAAGATACAGCTCACCTCCTGGAGAGCCCACCTTGACCATGTGAGCGCTGATTTTTGGGTTTGGCTAGTGCTGAGGGTCTGTGAAATCAGCACAGAGAAGATTCAGCCAAGGGGAAGAGGCTGATCAGGCAGCAATTGCTTCTCTGTGCAGATACTTTGTGCATTCAGCCACTGGTTCCTCAGGAGCAGCATGGAAAATCAAGGCATGGTGGGATTAACAGATTTACCTGAGACCTCTGGAGCCTCCTTTTCCCTTGTTTTACCTATTAAGTATCTCTGCTTCCCTGCCTTGCAGACAGCAGCTTCTTCTCCTTCAGCGTTGTTCCAGGCTGGGAATATTCACAGCCCTGTGTTATCTGGTGTCAGCAAAGAGATGGGAACATCTTGGACTGAAGTCAGTTGATTTATTGTTCCCGATTCTTAGAGCAGCCCAGAGTATGACGGGATGGGATCTTCTCATTTGCTGTCACTTGGAGTGGGATTGGAGTGAAGAGGGTCACAAGAGTTTGAGGTAGTTCTCCTTATTTTACTTTTATTTTTACTTTCTTTTTTCTTTTATTTTTTTTTCTTCCCCCTCTTCTTTCTGAAGGTAGTTCCTCCCCTTTCCAGCATGTTGAGAACAGCAGTGGGATATTTATCCTTGAGAAGGGGAGGATTCAGAGGGATGTAAAGCAGCTGTGCAGTACCTGTGAGGAGGTGTTTGAGAAGACAGCCAGACCCTTCAGAGCAGTGAGAGGAGAGAGACACAACAGGTATGAGGTAAGTTAAGAGAAGTTCAGACTGGTGATAAAGACACGTTTTTTTTCCATGAAGGCAGCCAAGCACCAGCAGCTTGCCCAGGAAAGCTGTACTGTCTCCATCCTCTGAGGTTTCCAAGCCCCACTGGACAATGAGGTCTTGCAGTTGACCTTGCTTTGAGCAGAAAGTTGAACTAGAGACCTCCTGAGGTCCTCTCTGACCTGGGAAATTCTGCCACTTCATGTTGAGGTCAGCATTCCAGGACTGCTCCACCTCCTCATACAGTGAACTCCAAAGCAGATTTTTAGGTTCCTGAAGGCTGGAAGCAAGTGGCTGAACCATGTCTAAGGCCATGGATCACCACACACTGGCTTCATAAAATCATGTAATTAAATCCTGGAATGGTTTGGGTTGGAAGGGACCTTAAAGCTCTTCTCATTCCAACCCCCTGCCATGGAGGGACATCCTCCACGAGACCAGGTTGCCCAGAGCTCCCCCAGTTCTGCACTAGGACATGGATGGAGCCATCCCTGGCATCTCCTGGGCAGGGCTCTCACCCCAGGACTGTCCCAGGTATCAGAGTGAAGCAGAAGGAGAACCACAAGGTCTGGCAGCCGCCCAGCTGTCCCTGAGCCAACAGGAGCCAGCAGGATGCCCAGAGATGGCTCCTGCCATCCCCTGCACTGCTGCAGGCCAGTCTGGAGCGCTCAGGGACCCGAGGGAGGCTGCGCTGGTTGAGTCAGTGCCTCTGAGCTCAGCCTCGTAAAAACCCTGCGGACCACAGAGGCTGATGTGCAGCACAGCCACGGCTCCTCCCTCCCTGTTTTCTGTGACCTCTTTGCGAGGCAGCTTTTGGTGCTGAGGTTCACATCCTCTCCAGATCTGCTGGCTATGGCAAAACGAAATTGGCTCTGCACAAGCTCCCCAGCTCCACGTGCACTTCCCAGCAGAGGAGATGGGGAGGGCTAAAATTGCGGTGTGCTGGGTGTTCCTGTCAGCAAGGCAAAGCTCACCTGGGGGATGCTCAGGGTTCCTTCAGCTTGTGCAGCTCCTCCCTCCCAGCCCAGCTCCCCCCTCCCAGCCCAGCTCCCCTTTGGGATGAGCGCTGCTTTGAGTGGGGAGTGCCAGTTCTTTAGCAACTCGACGTCCAGAAAAACCTGCAGTCACAGAACTAAATATAGCCCAAGAGAGGCCATGAATATGGTGACGCAGTCTGGAAGTGGTTCCTGACTGTTCTCCAGCAGCTGGGAGCAAGGCATGTGGCTTTGGCTTTTTAGGGGCAGTGGTGTGCAGGGGAGGTGGGGGCCAGGGCTTGGCAGCACGGTGGGCTCGAGGGGTTCTGCATCCCAGCACAAGCTGGTGGGGTGAGGCAGCAGAAAAACTCGTGGTGCTTAGGGCTGGGAGGGAGTTTCAGTGGTACAGAGACCTAGTCCAGGATTCACTCAGCCGGAACGCCCTGGAAGATGGGACTTGGAGAAGTTCTGATGTGGAGACTTGTGACTTTTCCCTGTGGTTCAGGACCTCCTTTGGCCCTTAACCAACAGTGCTGGTGCTCCTGTGAGGGTCACCCCCTGGTCTCACCCCCTGGTTTCCTCCAGCCTGAGGACTGTTGGGTCTCCTGGGCTACAAGACCTCACCAGAAGGGATGCACAAACCATCACCACCACCTGTGGCTCCATCAGGGCCAAACCAGGAGGAGCAGAAGACAGCAAGGAGCCCCCAACCCCACCCATTGCAGGGAAGGCAGCTGGAAAAGTGCTGGGGAGCTGAGGCTGGACACCACGCTCAGCCAGGATCTCCTCCGGCACAGGGAGGTAAAGCTGGCTCTGGCTGGGAGCTGGAATGGAGTCACTGGGGACTGAGCCTCGCTGGGTGCCACACTTGTGCTGAAACATGGTGGGGGTAAGGTTTGGCCACCTCTGCCTCACTGTCAGCTGCTGGGAGCATCCCCAGGCCGGACCATGGCACTGTGTGTCCTTCCTCTTATCCCTGTGGCAAAGGGATAAGAGCTCTCCAAAGCTCTCCAAAGAAGAAATAAGGTGCAAGAAGGGATATCTCCAATCTGGCCTCCAAACTGGCCCTCAGAACCTCCCTGCTGCAGGGGCTGGGCCCCATTTTGGATGGCTCTGGAATGGCTCTTCCTCCTTGCTCAGCCCAGGGAGCTCCCAGGGCTGTGGGACAGGGTGCTCTGTGGGACAGGGTGCTCTGTGGGACAGGGTGCTCTGTGGAACTGCAGGGCTCCAGCCAGGACATGCTGTGGCCCTGCTCATGACCCAGAGCCACACTCCGTGCCTGGCTGCTGAGTGGGAGCCTCAGGAACCACTTCCAGGATGAATTGTAGGTCAGATTGACAGCATTCTGCCCACCCAGCCTTTTGGGGTGTGCCTGAGGGTGCTCACCCTGGTCAGACCCTCAGTGTGCACTCCAAAGAGGGAAATCTGCCCTTGAGCCTTGCTGCAATGTGTCCTCATGGAGGGGATCCTGCAGAGAGCCAGGTCCTGTGCCAAGGGAAGGGCAGGAGACTGGCAGAGCTGGTCCTCACATCCAGAGTGGGCTGGGAGCTGCAGCCATCACCTCATCGTGTCTGGGTGTGCAACCCTGTCTGCAGCTGCTTTCCTTGGACAATCTTTGCCACAGTAACAGCTTGATTTTAACTCTGGAACCTACTGATGGGAACCAGAACCAGCTTCTGGTCTGCCCCACTATTTCTCTGAATGAGTCTCATGCCCAAAAATCCCATGTGAGCCTGGGGAGGACAGCAGGAACCACGTGCCACTGTCCTGGGTGGTTCATTCTGTGGACAGCCCTGGAAAGCAAGGCAAGAGGCTGAGTTTAATGCACCCCACAGAGCTTGCCACATCCCATTCCCTGACTGCAGGAACACTCATGGTCCTCCTCGCTGATGTTGGGATGTTTATGGTCAACATTTTGGGAGAGGTGGGTGACCTGCACCTGACAGACCCCTGTCCCAAACTGTCCCAGGTGCCCCCGCCGCTCCTCTGGATTTGGGTTTACCCCTTCCCTGCCCAGGCTGAGATGCAGAGCCAGCCTCCTGTACATCAAAATATTAATCTGTAGGTTTCAGAGAGCTGAAGGAGCAGAGAGAGCCACAGCGGGAGCGCTGGGAAGCAGACGGTGCTGCTGCACGGAAATCTATGCCCAAATGCTCCATATCATATCATACAGCATATGTCTAGAGACAGGCCAGCAAATCCAGACCTGAAAATGTGTATAATTGCCAGGCAGGACTCTGAGACTGAAAGAGCTTCAAAGAAAACACAATTCCTATGTGTTGAGAGCAGCGTGGTGGTTCTCTGGAGCTCAGTTTAGTGGGACAGACCCTCCCCTTGCACGTTACTTCAGTCCTTGCAGAGCCTGAAGGTCAAACCTGGCTCTCTCACTTGCACCACCTTCAGTATTTGCTGGTTTGGCTCAAAACCAGAGTTTGCTGGTCTTAGCACAATACACAGTATCCCAGAATCATGGGATATCCTGAGCTGGGAGAGACCCCTAAGGACTATGGAGTCCATCTCCTGGCCCTGCACAGGACAGCCCATCAGTCACACCAGGATTCTCTTATATTTCCATCTATTGTCCCATATAGCTCTTTTTGCCTTTTCCTCCTCTCTCTGCAGCTTAGTTTTCCCAATCATTGCCCAGAAACTGCCCTGGAACAGTGGAAAATGCTGTTGCCATCAGATTTTACCCTGGTCAATGGCACGTGGCCTGGAGCTTAAAGGGAGTCCCCCAGTCACAGTGAGAGATTCCCTGGAGAGCCAGCACTCTGCCCTCCCTGGTTCCCAGCACAGGTCCTCAGGCAGCAGTGCCACCACCCTCTGCTGTCACACACTCTTGTCCCCGTGGTGGGCACCACCTTGAGGGCAGCCAAGCCTGCAGGCAGTTTGGGGGTGGCATTAGGTGGCCTGAATGATTTGTATGGGCTTCAGAAGTGACCTGAATTGTCAGCTGCCCACTTGAATTGGGAGCTGCCCAGGGGGTGCCAGGCTGGGTGCTGTCCCTCTGGGGACACAGACACCCTCACAGGGCTCCTGCCAGCTCTGGGCTTGCACCAGCAGCAGAGCGATGCCTGGGCACACCCCAGGCTGGGAGTCACGTCCCTCTGTGGGAAGGTCAGTCCCAGGGGGAGTGGGAAACCTCATCCCAGCTTCCCTCTGCACCTCCCACCTCCTTTTCTCTGTGGGATGTCCTCTCACATCCCACCCTAAGCCCTCCTGGCAGTACCTCCAGCCCCATCCCTGCAGCATCACCTCCCCAGCCCCAGTCTCCCATCCCTCACTTCCAGCACAGGGGGAGCCTCGGGGCTCTCCCTGTCTCTCCTTCTCTTTCAGGAGCCAGGTGAAACCCAGCAGTTTTTAGGATCTGTGCTGGCAGAGAAGAGCGAGCAGATGGTGCCCTAAAATCCCCGCGCCCCGAAGAGTGAGCTAGTGATCATTTGTGAAGCTCTTGAGATCTATTTTTTTCCCAGACCCTGCTGAGCCTGGCGAGGACTATAATTGCAGCCTGGACTGGCTGGAGAGGGCAATACCCGGATGGGCTCCTCGCCTTTCAGGCTGTAATTGGGCCCTGGCGATACAAAGCACAAAAGCTCCTTCCTTTCCTTCCTGTTTTGCCGGGCTCCCTCCGTGAAACCTTCCCCTGCCTGTGCTGGAAAATATGTAAATACCAGGGCATGGGAGAATTGCTCCCTCGTGCCTGCGTCACGTCTGAAATCCCCATTAAAAATATATGTTCCAAAAAGAGCACCTCTGCACCGAGCACAAACTCTCCTGGCAGTGGGGGCTGTTTGAAGGGAGCGGATCAAAGGGAGGAGGCACGGAGCGGCTGTCCCAGCTAAATTAGCAGCAGGGATGGGGGTTTTGGAGGCTCCACAGGATCAATAGGACTATCTGGAAATGCCTGGCAGTCACGCAGGAGGTTGGGATTCAGCAGCGGGGTCTGCAGCGCTGTGCTGCGGCTCGGCTGGCTGTGCCAAGCCTGGGGAGGGATGCAGGGAGCCAAGGAAGGGGGATGTGAGGAGGGGGGAAAGGGGCTGCAGGGCCACGGGCTCACACAGCAATAAGCAGGTTTAATGAAGAGCCTTGAGGACATCCATCTCCCCCAGCACCTGGGATGGAGTTCTGGTGGCATCGCCTGCCTGGCCCTGTCTGTGAGGTCCTGTCCCAGTTTGGGGTATGGTGTGACCAGTGAGGAGAGCAGGGAGTCCACTCACATCCTCCTGGCTCCTCCTCTGCCTCATGGCCTTGGGGCCTGGGGAGATAATTACACATAAATTTTGTTGCAAAATCTCCTCTTCAGCCAGGCAGGGGACAATAATTTGTCCCAGAGACCCCGTGTGATGAAGGAGCTTTTCTGGGCAAACTGACAGGGCTTGGAGGATCTGGGAGGTGAGGGCTGGTGATGCCTCTAGTCCTGGTCTCCTCCAGGAACACCCTTGGGGAAGTGCCTGGGGCTGGGGGAGCCACAGGGCTCTCAGGCTGGGCACTGGGATCTCTCACAGCTCCAGCCGGTGAGAAAGGGCAACCCACAGAGACATTTTCTTCTTCTTCAAAGGAATTCAGTGTTTGGCTGGAGCGTTCAAAGGAGATTTAAAAAGAGAAGATAAAAAAGAAAGTTAAAAGCTGCCCAGTGAGGGGTGGAAGCGGGAACGTGGGGAGAGATCAGGGGCAGCGCCGGCAGCAAAGCAAAGGCAGGACACCGAGAGAAGATGAGGAGAGCCTTCATCCCACAGCTGCCCAGCCAGGGCACGGATTCCCATCCTCCAGCATCTGCATCTGTTGTGGCCATTTGAAAGCTGGCTCCTGGCATTTCCAGAGCCCTGCAGAGCCCCGAGTCTGCGGGAGGAGTGGGGCTGGAGGCAGCGGTGGGAGCAGGGAGCCGTGCCTGGGGGAGTGGGAGTGGGAAGGGTGGGATGAAGCAGGGACGCAGAGCAAGACACCGGGAGGGAAAATGTTAATCAACTGCAGTGCCTCCCTGAAAGGAGCCAAATGTAAATGAGATAATTAAGCTATTATTTAAAGCCGGGAGACGGTGGGGACAGGCCCGGGGTGGCCGGACTGCATTTTAATCAGCTGCTTGGCTGGGGCTGGGGAGCCCGTGCTGGTGGTGCCCCTGCCTCTGCATCCCTGCCTCTGATTCCCTTCCTCTGATTCCCTGCCTCTGATTCCCTTCCTCTGCATCCCTGCCTCTGATTCCCTGCCTCTGCATCCCTGCCTCTGCATCCCTGCCTTGGCTGCAGGCTCCGGGGTTATGGAACAGCCCCTCTGTGAGCCACTGTCAAGCCCTGTCCCCACTGCCCAGCCACTGCCATCCCGTGTCCCCAGGTATCCTGCCAGGTCAGGGGGCAAGGGGCTCAAGTGGGGGGTATCTACACCCGTGTTAGCACCTTTCTGGGGGGTTTTGTTTAGGCTGCAGGAGCCCCTCTGGTGCCTCAGTTTACCTGCTCTCACCGTTTTGGATATTAAAAGCTTGTAATGAGATAAGCGCTGCTGGTGGGGATAAATCCACCCAAGGAAAAGCAGAATTTAAATGCCCCAGTGCTGCTGGCCAGACTGGCTTTTGGGAGCCTTTTTTAACTGTCTGTGGTGGAGTTACCAGGTGACCAGAAGATGCTGAAGCAGTTTCCCCAGCTCTGGAAGCAGCTCTGAGGTTCAGAGATGCTCTCAGCACAGTGGGGAGCTCCAAGGTCACTTGTGAACTGCCATGAGCCAGCAAATGGGGCAGAACAGAAACTTCTCCCTGCATTTCTTTGTTTTGGTCAGGGATGGAAAAGAAAACTATGTCCAAAGCCATCCATGGTGCCTTCAAGGGGCGTGAAGTCATTTTGTTCCGTGTCATCGGGACCATCCTTGCTGGTGGCGGAAGATCCGACTCCAGAAAGCAGAGACTTCTGAGCAGCAGCAGGGAGAAAATGGGTGGTTGTGCACTCCTTTTGTGATTTTTCAGCTGGGATGTAGGTGAAACATGGTTAGTAGGGGCCAGGTTCAAAGGAAACCCGCGGAGATGTCTGTTCCATGGAGCAGCCTTAAGGAGAGCTCCACACCGCACGGGGAGCGGCTGCTCCCACTTCGCATGGGGGGTGTGAGAGTTCAAAGACACAAGGAAAAAGCCCATGGAGAGCTCTTAAGGAGAAAGGCAGCACCTCTCTAGCTCAGAAATCCCTGCTCCATGAATGTCTGGAGATCAGGGGAGCAAGCAAATGTTACACATGCCAGCCACGTTTGTAATCGCCTCCCCAGGCACCTGGCACTGGCCCCGATGGAAAAGGGGGATCAGGTTAGACAGATGCCTCCTGCCTCTCTACAACACAGCCCTTATCTTTCAAGAGGCTTTCTTACTGTATGGTTAAATGGTAAATTAAAAGCCTGATCCAGAGTGGCTTTCAAGTGCCTTGCTCTTATTTAGGTACCTCATTCCTGCAATTTCCATTCCTTCACAGAGCTGGGCCCTTAAATCCTGAAGATACTTCAGAAAACGCTATCCAGCATCCCATCTTAGCAAAAGATTATCCCAGCAAGTCCACGGACCTCTGAGCATCCTGCCAGTGATGGCAGCTGACCTCTGGTGATGTGAGGGCTGGTCCTGTGCCACGTCCCTCCCGGGGCTGCCTGTGGTGGTGGCAGGACGCTGTGGGAGGGTTGGTTTTCCCAAAGCACCACGCTGACCCACCCGAGCGTGAACCCAGCCTCCCACGGCTGTATTTGCCCAAAGCAGCAGGGTTTTTTTCCCTTCTCTCCACCCAGGCAGCCAGGCTGCAGCTGCCTCCCCTCTCCTGGGCCTGGGCAGGGACTTCAGGTGCAGTTGGACTATAAATTCTTGGCACCAGCACCACTGCGGCGGTGCTGCAGTTTTATTTGTACAGTCAGCATGTGCATGGGCAGGTATGGCCTCTGCTGACTGGGGAACGGGTTTGCACCCTTGTCTCTCGATTTCCCTGCCCCCAGCTCTCAGGTGAGGTGAGTGCCATCAGCTCTGCCAGGGGGCTGTGACCATGGAGCGTGTCCAGGCCTCCGATCGATCACCAAAGTGTCTCCAGGGCTCAGATCTCAGTGGCCCTGGGCAAGATCACACAGGTTGAGCTTGGCAGCTGTGCTGGAAGTGCTTTATAGCTCCAAAATAATTTGAGGAATGAAGAAAGCAAATTCCCTGTGATTTATCCAACCAATCCCAGAGTGGTGAGGAGGAGTTTGGGGTCACACATGGCACAGGGGTTGCAATGCCTCGGTCTGAACTGACCATTGGATGATGTGAAAAGAGAATACAGGAGGTGAAATGTGTGGCTCTTGGGGGTATATTTGCCACAGGAAACATTTTGCATTTCTGTTTCCTTCTGCCTGGTATTCACAGGCAAGACAAAATTAACCAAACAACCTTTCTCCGAGCTCTGAGATTTACTGCACTGTGACTCAACTTCCCCAACTGTGATCTAGGGAGAACAATCCTTTCTTTCCAGTCAGCAGTGTGGGAAGCTTTGTGACCCTCCTCCTTCAGGCAAAACTCTGTCCAGAGCATCCAGGTGGGAAGAAATTCTGCACCTGTGTCTCTTTAATCCCAGTTCCAGGAGTGAGTGTTTGTAAACTGCTGGTGAGTATGCCATAGGAGCACGCAGTTGCACGTGCTGGGGACAAGAGGAGATGCTGATGGCACAGCCCCTCTGGAGAGCACAAACACAGCCTGGTGCCTTCATTCCTTGGGGCCAGCAAGTCTGGGGATGCAGCTTAATGAATCCAAGTTATCACAGAGTCATTAAGGTTGGAAAAGCCCTGTAGGACCATCAAGTCCAACCATTCACCCAGCACTGTCAAGGCCACCACCAAACCATGTCCCCAGGTGCTGCATCTATGCATTTTTCCAGCACTTTCAGGGATGGTGACTGCACCATTTCTGCTGTTCCAGTGCCTGACAGTGCTTTCAGTGGATCCCAGGGTACGATAGGATGCTGAAGGACATGTTGCAGATCTCAGGAGAAGCTTGGCAGTGCCTTGGTCTCTCTGGCTGTGCAGGAGCAACCCAGGGTGGGCAACCTTCATTTCTAGAGGTTCCCCATGCAGATATCTTGGGGTGGCAGAGGTGACTCCTCACCTCATTTTGCCTGTATTGGGCAGAGGAGTGAGGTGACCTCTCCTGAAGCTCAACACCACCGTGGAGAGCTCTTTCACATCATCTCCCCTGGGGTGAGAGTGTGGCTGTGAGGTGGCCAGGGCTGAGTGGGACTTGGTGGCATTGCCAGGCTGGATTCACGCCTGGAGGGGCAAAGCTTGGTGCCACAGCCTGCAGTGCTGGCACAGCTTAACAGGCTCCCAGCAAAGCTACTGGCACGAATGGCCCCTGGTCTGGGCAGTGTGCTGGGGGGCTGGGGGGGCTTTCACAGCCTGCACAGTGATTCCAGGCAAATCCATCTCAGGATGAGACAAAATTAAATAAAAAGCCGACTCAGTGCCCCAAGCACGTGTGAAGTTGTTTTCTCAAGGGTTTGTCCAAACTCTGAATTTCCCATTCTCCCAGCAGGAAGAGGAGAGAAAAAAACCCAGGCACAAAAGCCTTAGGAGCAGTCCCTGGCTGGCGTGGGTGGGAAGGGGGCCAGGCTGGGCACTGTGTGGTGGCAGTAATTTTCCACACGCGGTGGATTAGGTGAGACTCTCGGTCAGGAGTGAATTCTGGGGTTTTTTTTTCCCTTCT